CCAATTGTGTCGGGTGTTTGTGTTTGGTCGGGAATAAATAACTCCTGTTCCCAGCTACCGAAGCCTCAAAATTTGGAAAAGGTGCAGGCGGGTAGGCCATTTTAATGCGAGAGGGAGGGGAGCCCAGCCTCAGCTGGGCGAGCCGACTGGTCAACAAGATATGATGCTAGAGAAACTCTCTAATCATAGCACTAAGGAACTGATACACCCTGCACTGATAAAGCAATCATTGGTATATATATCGTACTCTTGAGAGATGTTCATTTTCAGTCTCTATGGCAGAAGAACAGAAGCCCGAAGAGAAACAAGTCGACAAGTCGCAGGATGATGCAAATGTGGAGGTTTCTTACCGGATGCCACCACATTCGCCATCATAAATAGATCCAGGTAGGAACTGACTCTTTCAGGAAGGCAAACGAACGCCAGCTGGGGCAGGTCCTATGATGTTCGACAGTGCCTCTATACGAGCCAGATTCGTGCGTAAAGTCTTTACCATTCTTACTATAATGGTGAGCCATTTTGTTCATAATTCGAAAATCAGCAAATAACCTACTGAAATGTGCTACCTTCTAGATCCTTATCAACTGCCTCATGGTAGTACCAGTGGTTGTAATCGAAAGTGTGAGATCATTAGTTAGCCAATACAAATGGGTGGTCCTTATTGCTTTGTAGGTTTGCTTTCATTTATGTTCTATTAATTTTTGAACTTTTCCGAATGCCAGCCCAACCTGAAGCACCCTTAGGCAGACTTGAGCTCAAAAATTCTTTGAGAGCGAGAAGAACCTCTGGGTAGCGAAAGGGATGCAGCTGAATGGGCAGATGTACCGACCACTGCGAGAGATGCCCAATCTCAGAGCTATGCTCAAGCCTATTTTCCGATCGCATAGTAATGAAGCCCTGTCAAGGCTTCGGTCCCGTATAGCTTCCTTCCAGAGCGACCGCTTCAGTCGTTACCGACCAGCTGCCAGAATAACCAACAAATATAACTGTGGATTTGCTTGACTTTAGGCTTTGATAATCCCTCATTCACGCAAATTGTTTGTGATGGTTCGGTTGATCATCCATTCGACAGATAGCTCGCACCAGATCCGGTGGCTGCTAGGATATCAGATCGCTACTCAGTTGAAACTGAAAATATGGTACTAAGCCAATGCGGTCTTAATTGAAACTGAAAATATGGTACTAAGCCAATGCGGCCTTAAGTGTACGATTCCCTGATTTAGAAAATCGGACGGTAATTTGGAGGATAGAATCATGGAGTGACATTGGTCGACGAATTTTTTCAATGGAGTCTAAGATCGTAGAAAAACATCTGCTCTTCTAACTCTTGGGTCCACTCCCTAAGGTCCAGATTTATGTAGTATCTATACCTACATCCACATTATTTATGTACGATATCCACCTCTCACATCTGCCCCTAAACCCGCATTTTAGAGAGTAAGGGCATAAAGGATGGGGTGTAGGATTTTGTGCCCGAACGGCCTCCCCGCAACCACCGCGTGTTGGGGTACGTAGTGTAAGGACGAAATTTGAATTCCCCGTAAATGACTATGGTATATGACTCGAAACCACTGCCCGCGCCTACGTGGGAATCGGCTGTGACCAGCTTACCATCGCGGTGGCTGCTTTCTGATTTTGAGATTGGTCTGAATCGATTTGGTAGGAAAAAATCGTGGTTTAAATAGATTCGGTCGGGAAGTCGCCTCGGCTTGACGATCGTAACAGAACTAGGGAACGAACCCTTTCACCTATCCTTTAAATCCCTAACATCGGCAGAAACGGCCTTGATCATCGTTCGTTAG